AACACAGCAGGCCAGGAAGCATCTGGAGGAGAGCAGACGTCAACAGCAGTCCTGAACAAGGGTAATGCCCAAATTGTTGGCTGCTCATTTCCTCCAGATGCTGCTTGGCCTGCTGTGTTCATCCAGCTCCGCACCTTGTTATCTCAGATTCTCCAGCATCTGCAGTTCCTGCTATCTCTGCCATTGCTAAAGTTGACTTTTACACCCTGTACAAGTTAGTGTTTAATATCTTCAACACCAAACTATGCCTTGGTTTCGAGATATTTCTGCAGACTACCATGACGTATGATTGTTCCCTTAAAACTTCTATACTCTGCAAAAGAGAAACTTTACCAATGGCAGAATGACTCACTTTATATATAATGGAGTTGTACTGCAGTTTGTCCATGACTTCAAATTAGCTGAGTGTCGAAGTAATGAGTGTACATCGCCATCATTAACCAATTTATTCAGAAACGTGTTAACCTTCAACGAAATAAAATGGTTATCTGCCATAGGGTGAAAGAATGTATTCTTTCCATTAATGCTTCTGCACATAATCCAAAATATCCCAGACACCTCCTTTACTATTAAAACACATTAGTTTGCCCTCCCATCTGGGTTGATTCTTTGTACCATCAGCCAGCCCTCAGTCATTCTGATACCTCTCTGTGATAGTGTGTGTGTTTTTTTTTAAAAGCTTGTGAATATATTTATAATATTTTAACAACTGATCAACATGTGCCTTGGTGTGTTGCTACTCACCTTTGGCTGACTTTGATAAAAGCAACTGTGTTGACTATTTGTTTCAGAGATAGTAGGAACTGCAGATGTTGGAGAATCTGCGATAACAAGGTGTAGAGCTGGATGAACACAGCAGGCCAAGCAGCATCAGAGGGGCAGGAAGGCTGACGTTTCGGGCCTAGACCCTTCTTCAGAAATGGGGGAGGGGAAGGGGGTTCTGAAATAAATAGGGAGAGGCGGATAGAAGACGGATAGAGGAGAAGATAGGTGGAGAGGAGACAGGCAGGTCAAAGAGGCGGGGATGGAGCCAGTAAAGGTGAGTGTAGGTAGGGAGGAGATAAGTCAGTCCAAGGAGGACAGACAGGTCAAGTGGGCGGGATGAGGTTAGTAGGTCAGAGATGGGGGTGGAGCTTGAGGTGGGAGGAGGGTACAGGTGGGAGGAAGGACAGGTTAGGGAGGCGGGGCCCAGCTCATCCCTGCCTCCCTAACCTGTCCGTCCTTCCTCCCACCTATCCCCTCCTCCCATCTCAAGCCCCACCCCCATATCCTACCGACTAACCTCATTCCGCCCACTTGACCTGTCCGTCTTCCGTGGACTGACCTATCTCCTCCCTAACTCCCCACCTACACTCACCTTTACTGGCTCCATCCCCGCCTCTTTGACCTCTCTGTCTCCTCTCCACCTATCTTCTCCTCTATCCGTCTTCTATCCGCCTCCCCCTATTTATCTCAGAACCCCCTTCCCCTCCCCCATTTCTGAAGAAGGGTCTAGGCCCGAAACGTCAGCCTTCCTGCTCCTCTGATGCTGCTTGGCCTGCTGTGTTCATCCAGCTCTACACCTTGTTATCTGTGTTAACTCTTTGTTCTCTGGTCCAAAAATGTAGGTTAAACCACACCATGTGTCTGTTTTCTATGTGAACGAGGCACTCTGGGTGTTCTATTCTATATATTACATTTTTAACAAGTAAAATATTCATGCATTAATATGCTTGGATTTTTCTGCCAGGAATATTACTGGCTATTTATTTTCTGCCAGGATATTAATAGCCACTATTAATCTCTCTTAACAACTTGGTTAAATTACACATTTCAGTTTTCAAAGTGGTGGTCATGCACTCAAACCAGACAAGATCTTCTAACTGAAGTAACGTAGCTGAGAACATCTGAGACAAAAGCAAAGTACTGCTGATGCTGCAATTTTGAAACAATCAGCTTGCATGTGAACACGGGAGATGTAGCGCTTCATCTTTTCCCTCCTCCTTCTTCATAGTCCAAGGCCCTATGCACTTTTTCCAAGAGAAAGAGGGATTTACTTGCGCTTGTTTGCACTTGGTACATTTGGGAAGATTTTGGGGAGACTAAATGCAGGCTGGATGACCGCTTTTCAGAACACCTTTCTATCGTTTTTCCCTGAGTGGCCGGCTACTGTCAGTTTAATTCTCCACCTCTCTCCCAGTTTGACTGGTTTGTCCTTGGTCTCCTACAGTGTTCCAAAGAAGCTGAATGCAAACACTACACACAGTACCTCCTTTTTCATGTTGGCACTTTTTAAAGTTCTGGAGTTAACAACATTGAGAGGTTGCATTGATTTCAACAATTTTAAGTCATAAGGTCTTGCCCATATTTTGTTTCATGTCTTTTGCTAGATTTTGTTTTCCCCTTGTTGCATTCTTACCACCCTTTTGCATTTGGAACACAGCTTTCGTGCTATTTGCAGTCCCTCTGGAAATATCATGTTTCTTCATTTGTCCAATACCACTTCCTTTGGCTGTGTACTATTTAACTTCTTTCCATTTTGAACTCTCCTGCCATGTAGCTTATTATAGTTTCTTCCTCTTGTTTTTCCACCACCCACTTCCATCTCTTCTCCCTTTAATCATCTTCCACAGATTTTTCATTTATTCATTTACATTCTTAACCCCTCTCAGTTCTAACTAACAGGCAAAGACCAAAAACACTAATGTTGGTCCTTTCTACACAGATGCTGTCCTACCTGCTGAGTGTTTCAACGTTTGGTTTCTTATTGAAATCTAAGCTTTTGCAGGATAACATTTAAGTTTTACATTAAAGCTGTCCTTGACACTTAAAAGAACAATTAAATTACTTTCCATTCTGAATGTTTTTAACTGCCACTTAGCACACCAACATTGAAACAAAAACGAACTGCTGAAGAAACTCAGCAGGTCTGGCAGCATCATTAGAGACTAAGAGTTAATGAGTTTCTCCAACACTTTGTTTTTGTTTCAGATTTCTGGCATCCACAGTTCTTTGTTTTATAAATTTGGAACTCTGTTCTGCAACTTGTGTCTCAACCTTCCTTGTGTTCCTCCATTTAAAACCCACCCCTTTTGACCAAGCTTTTGCATAAACTCAATACCTGTCCTCCTTTGACTTGCTGACCATTTTTTCCATATGCATCTTGGGGCATTTTCTGTGTTGTCCTAACCATAACCCTATGCACAAATGCAAGTTGTTGGTACAAAGCACTTTGGAAAATAACCAAACAGATAAAAATTCTAATGAAATAAATGTCAATGGTGTGCTATTTTTGTTAATAGATTCCAAGCCAGTTGGAGAGATTGAAATCAAGGCGTACTCACCTTTTACGGAGAATTTATTGACTTCCTCAGGCCTCCCCCTCTAATTCCATATTCTGGAATAAGTCATGTTAATTTGCTTCAGGTTTGATGCCGTTCAAGCATGTGTTCCCATGTTAGTGACTTCTCATCCCTTGTCATTTACAAGTGAATATAATCTAATAAACATTCACAATCCAGCTTTTTGTGATTAGCACTATTTGACATAATTAAGGTGCTTTACAATCTTCAAAAAGAAAACTGCTCCTCTGAGGAATATTTTGCAGTTTCAATGTTGCTGTTGGACATCCTTAATGTATAGACATCAATCTGCCACAATACAAATCTAGCTTGAGCTGCCATGCTTACTGTTGAGAAATGTATCAGCCATGATTGAATAGCAGAGCAGACTGGATGGGCCACATGGCCTATTTCTGCATATGGTCTTATGGTTGTACTTTATGCCTCTTCTATAGTTATTTTACTCTGTTGACTTCTCATGCTTTATGCACACTGCACTCCCAGCAGTCAGTTTGCACCGAAGCAAAATCTTAATTATAAATTAAATAATTAGTCTTTCTGACATATTGATTGGCGGATGAGTACATTGTCCTCATTGCAGACTGGGTCCAAAAATTGCATGGGTCAAATCTGTTAACCAACTATACTCCTCTGCACTTTGCAGTTTAAGAGCCTAATCACTGTGTGCAAGAGTTAGTTTTGTGATACCAGAGCTGGCATATTTCCATAAAATATTGCAACAATTGTTTTCAGCATTTAAGTCCCCTCCCCATACGATCAGGTGCAGTTGGTCCTGGTTCATGTGATCCAGAATTGCCAGATTTCTTGTGTCATTTTAATGGAGTGTTATTGTCATATGCTCTGCTGACGTCCTGAAATATCGTTTAATTTAACTAGAGGAAGGGAATTGGGTGTTTAACAATATTGTAATTGCTGGCACTATACAGGAGCATTAGAAGCTTAGTTGATACACAGCTGCCCTTGTCTGTGCAAAGTGTTGACCAGTGGATTTGTTGCTTATCT